GGGGGGGGGGGGGGGGGGGGGAGGAAACTGAGGCACAGAGTCCCTAAGCCCTCCCCAGAGGAGCCAATGCAACCCTGAGCCCATAACACTCTTCCAGAAAATTTTGGGGACTACATTTGCAAGCATCTGGGAACCTGTGGGAGTACAGACCACAGACAGTGCCACAGGGTGGGTGTCCCTGCCTGGGGCACAAAGACCCCTCCCCAGGCCACAGCCCCTCACCTCGGTGGGCGAAATGTCGAAGACCTCGGCGATTTTGGCGTAGAGCTCCTTGACGTTGGTGAAGCCCTCGATGCGCCCCGTGGGGCTGCCGTGGGCCAGCTGCGTGTGGAACACCAGCCTGGGGCGGCTGCGGGGAGCCCGGGGAGCTGCGGGGCCGGGCGGCTCGGGGGTCCCCGGCTCCTGCCCCACACCGTTCTCCATGGGGCCGCCCTCGGGGGGCCGCTGGCCGTGCCTGCCCGCCCGCTGCATCCCTGCGGCGCTGCTGAATTATGGATGGGGCTGGTTCCCCGCCGGCCGTAAGGTGATCCCCCCGCCCGGGAACCTGAGCCGGTGGCGCAGGTCACCCGCGAGGATCGGGTGAGCTCTGCCACGTAGGAAGAGCCCCGGCCAGGCTGGAGGTGGGAGAGCAGCCGGCCCAGAGCCAGCACCTCACATCCTCCCCAGCTGGGGATGCAGTGATGGGCTCAGGGTTGCCACCCATGGATCCACCCCAGCAACCCCAGGATCAGCTCCAGAGCTCCTGCTGAGCCCAAACACACAGGGACCAGAGTGGTTTTCTCCAACATTTATTTGCTCCCATCTCCATCCCCAGCCCAGGGGCACCAGGAGATGGCAAATGGCAGATGCACAGCGCAGGCCTGGCAAGTGAGGGAGGGGTGGGAACACCCCGGTCCCCATCAGACCCAGGGCCAGGGCCAGGCCCATGTAGTGCTAAGTAAGAAAATAAGACACTCTCTAATTACACAGTCTGAGATTAATGACAGGCAGGCCCAGGGACACCAGCCCCAACCCCGGCTGCCAGCACAGTGGTCCCACAAGAGCAAGGGGGCTCAGGCAAAAGGGGGCAGGAGGCAAAAGCCAGTGCAGCACACCCAGGATCCCTGCAAGCAGGAAGGGGTCGGTCACAGCTCCACTGCTACAGAGGTCCCCACCCCAGGACAAGGTGGGTCCCAGCTCCCTTCTTCCAGGGGTCCCCACCATGGGAAGAGGCCAGTCCCAGTTCTCCTGTGCTCCCTGCTCCAGGAGGGGGTCAGTTCCAGCTCCCCTCTGGCCTGAAGAGTTTTATTGCTTTCAGAAGCTCGCTGCCTGGTCCCAGAGATGAAGGGGAAGGAGGGGAGCCAAGCACAGTGACAGGGGTAGGGGCTGAAGGCACCCATTAAATAAAAGCTGAGGCAGGCAGCGGGAAGGATTTGCCCTCAAGGCCTTGCTGGGACGGGACCAAGGGGCTCCTAAACTGGCCAGGGGACAGGAGGCAGCACCAGGACCAAGGGGGTCCCAGTCACCCCTCAGTGTCCCCCATCCCCACAGCCCCGGTTCACCCTAAAGGGGTGTGTTCACTCCAGGCCTAAACCCACCAGTGCTGCCCCAGTCAGGCTTCAGGCAGCCCCTGGCTGGCAAGGCAGGGCTGGGGGGCCCAGGGGAGAGTCGGGGGTGCTCACACCAATGTTGACCCTCTCCCAGTGCTGTCCCAGCTGGGCTCTCAGCCTGGTCACTGCTTGTCCCCCGAAGCTCAAGGTCCCTGGGGCTGGTGCAGTCGTGGGTTGGGCGGTCCAGGCTGGGGGGTCCCAGCTGCAGGAAGGTGCGAGGGGCAGGGGGAGCAGCCAGACCCCCTGCAGAGACTGTCCCTTGAGTGAGCTCCAAGGGACAGGCCCAGGGTCCAGCCAGGCCTGGGGTCTGGAAGGACTGGTCCTCTCACAAGTGTTCACTGAGGAGGGAGAAAAGCACAGCTGAGTCGCAGAATCCCACAACAGTTTGGATTGGAAGTGGTCCTAAAGTTCATCCAGCTCCTCCCTCTGCCATGGGGAGGGACACCTTCCACTATCCCAGGCTGCTCCAAGCTCTGTTCAGCCTGGCCTTGGACACTGCCAGGGATCCAGGGGCAGCCACAGCTGCTCTGGGCACCCTGTGCCAGGGCCTGCCCACCCTCCCAGCCAACAATTCCTTCCCAATATCCCATCCAGCCCTGCCCTCTGGCACTGGGAGCCATTCCCTGTGTCCTGTCCCTCCAGGCCTTGTCCCCAGTCCCTCTCCAGCTCTCCTGGAGCCCCTTTAGGCCCTGCAAGGGGCTCTGAGCTCTCCCTGGAGCCTTCTCTTCTCCAGGTGAGCACCCCCAGCTCTCCCAGCCTGGCTCCAGAGCAGAGGGGCTCCAGCCCTTGGAGCAGCTCTGTGGCCTCCTCTGGACTGGCTCCAGCATCTTTGTCCATCCATCTTTGGACATGGGGACACCTCCTGAATTCAGGAACTGGGCTTCCCTCTCCCACAGCTCCCTGGAGCAGCTGGATGCCCATCTCCATCCACACCTTCCCTGCTCAGCTCCCATCACCACCAGCTCAAGCTCAACCCTGCAGCCCCATGTGGACACCTGTGCCACAGCCCCAGCCCTGCACTCACCTGGCAATCCGGGACAGGATCTCCTTGACACGCAGCACCAGGGGCTCATGCTGCAGGGGGTTGCTCTCGATGGCACTGTGCAGTTTGGCCATGTAGAAGTCCAGGGTGCTCAGCGTGGGGGTCTCCCCAGTGCCTGTCAGGTGACAGCTCAGTGAGCGGGGCCAGCAGGTCCCCACCCAACCCTGTTCATGAGGTGGGAACTGCAGAAGGGACCCCAGCACCAGATGCCGCCTCCTGCAGTGGCACAAGTCTAGGAACACATGGATTTGGGCCAATCTGGGGTGCAGCTGTGAGTGTGGCTGCAGAGGAGGGATGCCAGCCTGCCTTGTCTCAGGACAGGGAAGCCAGCTGGCTGTCACATCTCTGGGCTCCCTGGAAAGCTCCTCAAGTGCAGCAGGATCCCACCCCAGCAGCAGATGAGCACCTACCACCACCCCACTGTCCCACAGTGCTACCTGCATTGGCTGGGGGGACCCCTCAGCGCCCCTCTGCCCAAGCAGGAGTCCCAGAAGCTGGAGGACCCCATGGCTACCCCCAACTCACCGGGGATGGGGAGGGAGGCAAAGCTGGCAGTGAGGGCCTGCCGCACAGACTGGAGCTGCTGCTGCAGGGCCAGGGTCTGCCGCTCCTCCTGCGCCAGCTCCTGCTCCAGCTTCTCCTTGGCGCAGTTCATGCTCTCCGTGTGCTTCTGCAGGATGGCATTCTGCTCCTCAAACTCCGTGTTCATCTTGCGCAGGCGCCGCAGCTCGGCCTCCCGGGCTGCCGGGACAGCATCGTGTCCGCAGGGACAGACCCTGCCCCCCTCATTCCAAACCCAAATCCTGCCCCACACACGGCTCTTCCAAGCAGCTCTGTATCACCAACATCCAGGTTCCAGCCAGCACCTGGTCCCTCCATACGGGCACCAAGGACCCTCCACAGCCCTCCTACCCTTGTTTTGGTCCAAGAACTCCTCGGTGAAGATGGGCACATCAAAGGTAGAGAAAGTGTCGCTGCACTCGCCAGCCTGAGGGACAAGAGGGAGGGGTTGGGCAGGGCTGAGCCCACCAAGAGGGGACCCCAACACCGTGGCTGATGAGGGTACTGGGACAGGGTGAGGGCTGGCCCTGCCTGGCAAGTGGGGAGGGAGGATGGCTATGCTCTGCCTCCCAACCCTCCAGGAACCTGGGACTCACAGTCCCAGAATTCCCTCTGCCCATCCACATCTACAGCCAGCCCAGCAGTGCAACGTGCCTCAGTTTCCCCACACACAGGCAGACCTGATAGGGCCTTACCTTGTGCGGGTGTCCGTTGAGTAGGGTGTTCACAGTCACCGTGCCCATGTCCTCTGCAGCAGAAGAAGGAGGTCACCCCAGGGGCCAGACTCATGTTCCCAGAAGGCTCTGGCATCACCTGGCTGGATCCTGGCAGCCATTGCTCCCACAACCCACCTTTTTTGATCTTTTTCTCCTGGATCTTCTCCGTGCACATTTTGTAGGCCTCTGACTGCTGATATTCCCGCAGCTCCTTCATGTACTGCTGCTTCTCCCGCTCAGCCTCATCCAGGTACCGCTGTGGCACAGAGGTACCTCAGCCTGCCCAACCCAGGCTCCCAGGAGCTGCTGACCCCTCCCTGCCCAGCTCCCACTCCCCAGCAGTGGGGACAGCAAGCTCAGGGGTTTGAGAAGCAGGCTCTGGAGCTGTCCAGCCTGGGGGGGGTCTGCCCTGGGGGCTAGTACCTGCTTCTCTGAGAGCTGCAGTTTGCTCCACTCTGCTCCCAACATCTTTGTGATCTCTGGGAAGGGCAGGTCAGGATGCTGCGTGCGGATCTGCTCGCGCCGCTCATTCAGGAAGCGCACGTAGCCCGTCACAGGGGCTTTGGGGCCGTTGGGAAGGATCTTCTTCCTCTTCTTGCCCTTGGGCCAGCCCCTCTTCTTCACCGGCTGGCACCCATGGGGAAAAGACAGCCCATCAGGGATCAGAGCCATCACATCACGGGACACGGGAACAGCCCCCAGGCCCACCTGGGCCACACAGTCCTCAAGGAAAAGTCTGAGCCCTTCCTTGGCCCATGGCCACAGCCACACATGGGCTGGTGCAGGGCAAGCAGAGGGACAGGGACAGCCCCAGGCCAGGCACCTTGGGCCCCACTCTTGGGGATCGTGTGAGAAGGGACACAGGCTCTGGGACTCACCTCCTCCTCCGGCTTCTCCCCGCCCACCCGCGCTGACTCTCCCTTCTCCTGTTTGATGGCCACCAGGAAGTTTCCATGCTGAGCCTTGCCCGTGGTATGTCTGCAGCCAGAGAGCACCATCAGAGAGGGCTGGGACACATGGGGGCCAACAGTGACACATCCCCCAGCAGTATGACCTCACACTCACCAGATTCCCCAAATCCCCTTACTCAAACAGACCCAAATGTGGCACTGGCCACGGAGCCCTTGCTCCCAAGAGGGGAGGCTACATCAGAGTGATGGCACTGAAGCAGAGTCCAGCTTAGCAGGGCAGTCCTGCACACTAAAGCTGCCCTGAGGTCTGGTGGCAGCCCTGGGACTCATCAGAGACATTTGGATGGGGATCAGCTCTTGGGATCAGGTAACATTGACAGTCACATCCCTGCCTGTCACCTTGGGACACACCTTGGTGGGGAGTCCCAAGGGACTCTGCAAGGGAGGAGGAGCCACAGGGGTTTGGATCCTGGTGCCAGGGACACCACCTGGAAGCATCACCCACACCCAAGGAACCTGGAGGCAGAGGGTGAGGGCAGGGCTCCAGCCACAACCATCCCAGCAGGTTTGTGCTGTCTGTGACACCTCCCTGACACCTCAAGCGGCTGCACCGTGGGGCTCAGCCCCACTCCCAGGTCACTGCCATGGCTTTATGGATCAGCAGCTGCTTCAGGCAGAGCCTTCCTGCCCCACTGAGCACCCGCAAGTCCCACACTGGGTGAGCAGAGCTTCCATGTCCCACCACAGCATCACCCTGGGGCTCCCCAAGCCCCCCTGGCACCTCCTCCAGTTGGCTCCATCCCTGTCCCATTCACACCCCTGGGTCCTCAAGGCAACTCCTGCTCTGCTGGAAATGTCCTCACTACGTCAGGGAAACCACAAAGGGCTCCTGAGTATCACCAAATGATGCTCACTTGGGTTCCAACCAGATCTCCAGACCTGGGAACCAGCCCAGGGCCAAACACAAGCCCTGGCACAGACATGTGCCAAAAGCCACAGTGATCTCAACCTGCTCAGGATGCACCTCAATTTTCCTTGTGTTTGCCACATCATGTACCTGGAGCAAACCCCAATCCCTGCAGAGACCCCAAGCTATTGCTATCCATTTACCCCATACAAGCCATCCTTGTAGTTAATTTAGGAGGCCCCTTCCCTGAGCCCACAGCACAGAGCTGCCACTGCACTGGCCCTTGCAGACGAAGTGGGACAAGTCCCTCCACCAGGATCAGAGGCCAACCAGAGCCCTACACCCCCACACTCAAAAAAAAAACCCGACAGGAGGGTGTGAGACCACATCTTCTCTCAGCTCCTGGGGGAAAAGAACCCTCTGAGGCTGTGCAGGGTCATGGCCAGCCTTTTGCTTTATCAGCTCCAAGAGCAATGTTCCCAGTGATGTCCACATCATCATCCTGTTCACCAGAAACACATCAACACCCTCCAGCACAAGACGGATCACCCTCCCCCCACGTGATCCAGATTCCTTGAATGCCTAAGGATGTTTTAAAAAGTAAAGTTATCTCAGGCAAAATTCCGCCTCAGCCAGTTCACTCTGGCATCCACCTCCCTCCACCTCTGAGGCGCTTCCCCATCCACTAGCCCCCACGCCAGGACAGCCAAGGCCAACTCAGGACAGCACAAATCTTATGGGAATTCAGACCTTGCTGGTTCTGATCTCCCAAGAAGCTTAGACTCACAGAATCCTGAAATAGCCAGAGCTGGAAGGGACCCTCAGGGATCATTGAGTCCAGCCCCTGGCCCTGCCCAGACCCCCCAACAAGCCCACCCTGAGCATCCCTGAGAGCGCTGTCCAAACGCTCCTGGAGCTCTGGCAGCCTTGGGGCCGGGCCCATTCCCTGGGGAGCCTGGGCAGTGCCAGCAGCCTCGGGGGGAAGAACCTTGCCCTGAGATCCATCCCAAGCCCTGGCACAGCTCCAGCCCTTCCTGGGCTCCTGTCCCTGTCCCAGAGCAGAGCTCAGCCCCTGCCCCTCCGCCTCCCCTCGGGAGGAGCTGCAGCCCCCGAGGAGCCTCCCCTCAGTCTCCTCTGCTCCAGCTGAACGAGCCAAGTGCCCTCAGCTGCTCCTCAGAGCCTTCCCCAGCTCCGTGTCCCTCCTCTGGACACTCTCCAACAGCTTTGGATCCTCCTGATCTTGTGGTGCCCCAAGTGCCCCCAGCACTGGAGGAGAGGCTGCCCCAGTGCAGAGCAGAGTGGGACAATCCCTTCCCAGCACACACAGACCACTCCCAAGGCATAGAAAGGGGGTGAGTTTCTGCCACTTTTTCACCAGGGGCACTGACACAGAACAGGGCAGCTGGAGGACGCTGTGGCAGGTGGTGGCACTTACAGCAGGGCGGCAGGCGGCTGCTTGGTGCTGTGGGCCATGGGCGGGGGTCTCGGTCAGCACCCTGCGGACAGAGCACAGCTGGCACTGCCATCGGGCCGGTGGTGCCCACCGGGGTCCCCCTGCCGGAACCCCCCTCGGAGGTCTCCCTCTCGTGGGGAAATCACAGGACCCCTCCCCGAACGGCATCTTCTCCCCAACCGGCCCCTTACTGGCCCCTCCACGTCCCCCAGCTCCCAGGAACCCGGAACAAGCTCCCGCCCGCTCCCATTGATCCTCCCCATCCCTGGGGGAGCCATCGCAGCCCCCACGGGCTTATCCCCCTTGCCCCCCTCCCACCCGCCATCCCCAGAGTCCCCGAGCCCTCCTCTGCAGAAACCTCCCTCCACCAAGACCCATCGCAGCCCCAACAGGTTCGTCCCCACAACGCTCCGCGCCCCCTCACCGGCCCTCCCCGTCTCGCCCTCCCTCCTGAGGAGCCCCAATGGGCTCGCCCTCATAATCCGCCCTCTACCCGCGATTTCCCGGTCCCCCCCAGGAGCCCCGACAGGAACGCCCCGCCCCACAGGATCCCGCCATAGGATCCCCCC